ATTTTTCAGAAGCATGGGTAATTTAACTAAAATCACCACAAAATAACCAGGGATCTTTTATTTTAGCAGAAACATTTCTCAAGTTATCCAACAGTATATCTCTAGAACTATGATTATTCATTGCATAAATAACAGAGAAGAACCATTTAGGAGAGGAAAAGCTTACTTTTATAGTTGCATGGATTTCATGCTCCGTGAGTACATAAGGTTCAATCGTGACTTCAAATGCTATTCCAAAAAAGTGCAATGCCCCAAGTATCCAGTAGCAGGGACCTGTATAACATCAGTAAGGTGAAGGGCCTGAAGTATCCTATCATGATTCTCTATTCTTGCTTTTGTGAGAGCTAGCACAGAAGGATTGTTACATTCTAGTAAAGTATGCAAGTTATTCATGAAGTTCGCGTTATGATCTCCCCTAAAATTCCACAATAGAATCTTCATTTATATGACTTCTTGTGCATTGGATCTCCCTCTTGGATTCAGAGACATCTCTAGGTTCACCATAGGCACCTTGATGGTTGCATTTTCCACCTCCAAAGTCTGTTTGCAATTCATTGTTGGTATGTAAAATGCTACATATTTGGTATCATGAGAGAATTGTAGTAACGGATGTTGTCCATCCTTCCTTATTCTTCGTCAAAGAAACTAATTAATTTTCTGAATGCTCAGAGTAGTTTGTGTTGCTTGAGAAGGAAGGTGTATTGGATAGTCTATGCGGGCATGAATGCACTAGGTGACCCAGTCTTCCACAACACCTACAAGTGGGGGTGGGGGGTTCTATTAGTTTGGAGTTGATATTAACTTTTGATAATTTGACAAACTTAAACATCTAACAAGGAACCAGATCATTGTTATTGGGACTGCTGACAGGGAAATGAATGATAAACTCAATGTGAGGTATATTTATGTGTTATCATAAAAAAAGGGGAAAATGTTATGTTTTAGGTGTTTTGATGATCCTTTCAAATAAAGGTACCTGGTCCCTGTCTGAGTTTGCTTGTCCAAATCTATAATGGGATACAATTGTAAAGTTGTCGTGTCAGAGGTTGGTGAGATATCAGCGTACTACACCTGTCATAATGGAAGAGGGTATTTGTCAAACGGATAATAACTTTTTATGTTTGATATTTTCAACATGACAAACACCATATTAAATACATTCATTCAAAGAAGAAAGTTAGCCAGCAAGCCTTTCAAGAATTCATAAAGAATTTTGTAAGGCACTTGGTCCCTGTAAGACTGCAATGTGAAAGGACGTCAAGATAGTTGTCAGAAAAGCTGCCACTTTTGATATAGTAGGTGCACGTCCTTCCAGAAAGACAGTCTCTCAGCCAATGGGCGGTCCCAAGGTGTTTGTGTGTATTTCATATAGTCTTCTCACCAAAACAAAAACTTAAGATTTAGCAAACTAATTTTGGATTTTCTCCTATCTGAAAATTCATAAGCTTACAAAGCGAAAGCCATCTTCAAGGAAGAACTCTGCTCAACTCAATAAAGGGGCTTGATAGAGTGAAGGAGAGTTTATTGGCCATATGAATAATGCTTATTCTTTTATGGTCATATGAATGAATGATTGTACACTCACGTGAGGAGTTATGCAGATTGTATGTCATCATCAAAATGGTTAAAATTGATATGTTTTATGCTCTTATACGTTTTGATGATCTTCTCTCAAGTACAGGGACCTGTTCCTCTGCAGAGTATGAAACTCGTCCAGGCTTTAAAGTGATGGAAAGCTGTAAAAGTTGTCTGCGTGAAGAAAGTTGGTGAAGCAGTAGAGTACTTCACCAATAAGGGACGACCAGGTTGTTTGTTTGATGGGTAATAACTTTTCTTGGTATATATCAAACAAACAACAACAAATTCATTCTTTCATTCATAGAGAAAAATTTCAAGCTTCAAGAACAACCGAAGGAACTGATCGAAGTGCATTTATTACCTTTTTGTATTTGATGTATTTAGTTGCTTGTAATTGTTCTTACATTGTAGGATTCGTTTCAATTGTGAAAGAAACATTTCAAACTTTGATGAATCATTATAAGGGCTAGGTTGAGGGTAACTTAGGTTCTTACTCTAAGTCTATATTAATCGGGTAGGATTAATATATACAGCAGTGTTGTATCTGCTCAGGCTCAACAAAAAGATAGAGAGTATTACTTAGTGGGGAGATTAGCAGGCTAATCTCTTGTTGTAACCGACTTTTACTTTTGCTTGTTGAAGATTAGTGAAAGTGCTTTGAAAAGTCCTATTGATAACAAATCGTTGTTTTTCTCCCATGAGCAAGGAGGTTTCCACGTAAAGTTTCTTGTCAATCTTTACGTTTCTGCATTTGTTCTTTACTGTATTGAGGACCTGGTCCCATCAATATAACTGGACGTATACATTCCAACAGGTTCATAGGTAAATTTGTTGAAGTCTTGAAGATGTGTTCCTATAAGGACATCAGTTGGGAGTTGATAAGATATAAGGGAAAGGATACAAAGTCTAGAGTATCTACCTCTGGTAGTGTTTATTGTTGCAGTGTCAATCTTGAGGAAATAAAGTTTGGATGGTTTGAAGGGTTATCATTTTCGTCTTCAACATTAATATTTTCTAGACTTTGAGTAATATAGTTTATTTCGGAAACTTACTTTTGAGTCTTGTTTTGATGTTGGTGGATCTTTTTGTTTACTTGTACTTCGGAGGAGTAGGTCGATATCCTGGTTACTCATTTCTTGGTCTACATTTTTCAGTTTTTCAGTTTTTTTCTGCTTCTATCTAGTGAAAAGGCAGAGGACTATCCCCATTATATATATGAACATCACAATTTAACTATTATTACAATCTCTTCTCATAATATTATGCCTGCTATTAGGAGTGTTCACGGATTGATTTGGGTCGGTTATTGATCAAAATTAAAACCAAATCATATAGTCAGTTTTAAAATTATTAAAATCAAATCAAACCAAATATAATATAAATTTACCGGTTTGATTATTTTCGGTTTTGGTTTGGTTTGATTTAGTTATTTGGTTACTAATCATACATAAAAATAAAAGAAACAATTTTTTCAACATGTAAAAAAAGTGACAACAATCTATTTAAATGAAAAAATAGTTAAAATAAATGTCATTACAGAACTTTCGATCATTGTACCGAATAAAACTTCAAAAATCACTATTTTGGCATTAGAAGGAAGAGACAATGATATTTTCAGTCCCACATATAATTTCAATAGACAATAAATCATATACATGAAACCAGTAGAAAAAATGTTCTCACCTTGTACATTTTTTTATAAGTAAATTATAAATAAATTTTGATGAAACATATATAAAATCTTTAAAACTGTTTATGATCAATATAAATATTATGTATGTATAATAATAAAATTTATTTATATAACATGTTGGTTCGATTCGATTATTTCTTCGAGTTTTTTTCGAACAGAATCATAATCAAACCAAATACTATTGGTTTTTAATAATCTAAAATCAATCCAAATTAAAATTCAAATTAAATTGGTTTATATCGGTTTGGTTTGATTTTTCAGTTTGAATCAGTTTTTATCCAAACCATGAACACCCCTGCATACTACTTTGTGAATTCACGCCCCATAAAAAATATTAAATTTCTAATTGGCACGTAGAAAATGAATTGCATGTTTTAAAAAATGAATATTCATCCATGTACAAAATTGTTAAAGTTAGTTAGGTGTGAATAACAAATGAACTAGGTACACACTCACAAAGTGCCTAAGAAGACAATGTTATATCAATCCAATAGTTTAAGGATATTTTAGGTTCTAATAATTTGAAGTTTATTTAATATATGATTTAATATGATTAATAATATTTTGAATTTCACAGTAAAAATATTTCTCCCACCTCGCCTCGCTCGCCCCGTTTCTCTTTCACTTTTTTCTTCGTCGATATACAAGAGACCCAAAAAAAGGGAAAATAATGGCATTCATATAAAAATAATTAAACCAATACAAGATAAATTATTAGTATTTTTTTTGTACTCGAAACTCAATATAAGTAATAAAATAATACTTTTTCCTACCATCATCCCTACCCACCATGATATATAAATTAAAAATAAAAAGAAAAAAAATTGATATACTCCTCAACTTCGTCATTTAAAACTGATATACCATCGTTATAAAAATGATTTATAGTATACGCCTATTATTGTACAAGATAGCTCCACATATACCCTTTTTATCTAAAGGAAGTAAAAAATTTGATGTTATATAATCCATGTGCGGTATATCTAATCCCTCCTAATACATATTTGTTTGACTTTTCCGTTTCAATAACTAATTTAAATTTATTATTGTAATAGTCAAATCATTTAGTTAAACTAATTTCTTGTTAAATTTATCATAAATACCTCATTTTTTATTTTATTTTTACAAAACTAAGTTAAAATATAGCCATAGAAAAGAGTTCAAATTTTTCAGAGTAAAAGAAAAAAATATAAGAAACTTCAATAATGAAAATCAAAGAGGTCAAAAAATATTTTTTATAAAAGAAAATTAAAATATGCTTTATGTTATATATCCATTTTATTATACATGTTGATTATCCATTTGGTTTATCCAAACAAACTGGATTCATGTATTGTTGCTTTCAATATGATAAAAAACTTCCAAGATAATTATATATCTATTAATAAGATAACATTTGGGAGTGATATCTCAACACTATAAATAGAGATATCACTCACCATTTGGAAGATACACTAGAGTAAGAAAAGTTTTTTCCTCTATCTTATACTTCTTGTCTTCTTCTTATTATTACATTATATTATTCTGAGCTTTCTTTTTAATACGTTATCAGCACGAAGTTGCGACTTGCAAAAGTATTATATAAATATTCTAATTTAATTCACATATTCTCTCATAATCTCATTATGTCAAGTTTATCCAAACTTGAGTTTGTGACATTAGATATTGGGAAAGAATTATCTTTTATGGGTACTTGATGTTGAGATTCACTTACTTGCTAAAGGCCTTGATGTCACAGTTAGTAAGGAAAATTTATGTCACAAATACTAAGGGAAATGAAGCATCGATCCAAGAGAAGGCTAAGGCTATGATTTTCCTTCTCCATCATCTTAATGAGGATCAGAAATATCTAACGGTAAAAGTTCCACTTGAGTTGTGGACTTATTTAAAGGGGACATATGACTACCTAAAGGCAACAGTGTTGCCAAGAGCTCGATATGAGTGGATGCATTTACATTTTCAAGATTTTAAGACCGTAATTGAATACAACGCTTTTGTATTCAGGATAACCTCTCAACTGAAATTATGTGGGGAGACTATAATAGATGAGGATATGTTAGAAAAGACACTTGTTACTTTCCATGCCTCAAATGTGATACTGCAGCAATATCATAAAAAGGATTTTCAGAAATACTTTGAACTGATCTCATGCCTTCTAGTGGTTGACCAACATCATGCTCTTTTAATGAAAAATCATGAAGCTCGTCCCACTGAAGCTTCTCCATTACCAGAAGTTAATGTGGTGCAAGAACGTGATCAATCTAAAGTAGAAAAAGATGATCATCAGGGCTATAATAATGCACGGGGACATGACAAAGATAAGAGATGATTCACAAATCATAGAGGTGGTGGTCATAATAAAAGAAAGAACAACATGAGTTCTCAAAATAACCCCTCGATAAGTAATTGTCAGCGTTGTGGCATAAAAGGCCATTGGAAGAATGAATGTCGCACACTTGAGCATTTTATTAGCTCTACCCAAATTCCTTTAAAAGGAAGGAAATAAAGGTGGTGCTTTCTCTTTCAATGCTCGAGCTGAGTCACGTATGACTCTTAAAGATGATGATAAATCGAGAACATCTCAAAAATATGATAAGGATGATGAAACAAATTTGACTTTAAAGGATTATGTTTTTGATGGCCTCAGTAACATTACTCATATGAAAGTTGATGACTTATTTGGAGAACTGGGGAATGCAGTCTGTTAATATTTACTTATGTATTTTTAATTATTATGTTCTTCATGTTGAAGTATATAAATTTCAGTCGTTAGTTTTGTTTCATACTTCTTTTGATGTATTTTATATTAAAAAAATTAATAGAAATCTCCATTTATCAATTGGATTCAACATGAGTAATAGAGATGTGCGCCTTCTGATAATGCTACAACACATAATATATTAAAAGAAAATAAATACTTTTCTAATTTGATTTTGAAAATGACATATATCAAAATAATATCAAGTAGTATAAAATTAATTGAAGGCTCTGAAAGAGTGACCTTAGTACTACCTGGAGGACAATATTGACCATTGATAGTGCATTATATTGTTGTAAGTCTCAAAGAAACTTATTAAGTTTCAAAGTTATTCGTCAAAATGGATATCATGTAGATACGACTAATGAAGGAAAGGTTGGGTACCTTTACATTACTACAATTAATGTAGAGAAGAATATTGTGCAAGAAAAATTACCTGCACTTTATTCTGGGTTTTACTATATAAGTACAAGTATCGTTGAATCACATATTGTAATAAGCAAAAGGTTTGCTAATTTTAATGATTTAATCATTTGGCATGACCGGTTGGGCCATTCCAGATTTAGTATGATGCGCAAAATAATTGAGAATTCACATGCACTCGCCTAAAAGAGCCCAAATATCCTTCGGTCAAAGAAATTCTCTTGTGCTGCTTGTTCTCAAGCAAAGCTGATCATTAAACCATCAACAATTAAGGTTGGAATTGAATCACCCACATCTCTGGAACGTATACAGGGTGATATATGTGGATCAATTCAACATGCTTGTGGATCCTTTAAATATCATATGGTCTTGATAGATGTTTTCACATGATCATCAATGTGTGCTTATTATCAACTCGCAACATGGTTTTGGCGAGATTGTTGTCTCAAATAATAAGATTAAAAGCACAGTTTTAAAACTATACAATAATGACATCCATCTAGATAATGCTGGTGAGTTTAAAACTTAAGTACTCAATAATTATTATATGTCTACTCGTATAATAGTTGAACATCCTGTTGCACATGTTCATGCGAAGAATGGTCTAGCAGAATCATTAATTAAACTTCTGCAATTGATAGCTAGGTCATTGCTAATGAGAACAAAGTTGTCCGTGCCTATGTGGGGGGAATGCTATTTTGCATGCAGCAGCACTTATGTGCATAAGGCCGTCAATTATTATGAATTTTTCAAATTAAATTGGCTTTTGGTCAAGAGCCAAACATTTTTCATCTTTGAATTTTTCGGATGTGCGGATTTCTCCACCATAATGTATAGATATGAGACCCAAAAGAAGATTGGAATATATGTTGGGTATGAATCTCCTTCAATCATAAAATATTTGAATCATATGACTTGAGATTTATTAAAGGCAAGATTTTATTATTTTCATTTTGATGAATCAGTATACCCAACGTTAGGGGGAGAAAATAAGCAGTTAGAAAAGATATAGATTGAAATTTATTATCTCTATCTCATCTGGATCCTCAAACAAATCAATGTGACCAAGAAGTTGACACACCCGAAAATTTCCATTAACTACACTAGATCTTAATATGTTGAATAATGATAGTTTTATACATAAATAAGTATAAATAACTTGTTTGAGAAGTTTTGGAGCCATAGAATGAAAAGAAAGGCCTTAACGTTCAGAAACTAGCCAAATTTAACTAGTTGACGTCCCTATGTTTGGAAAAGGTTTTGGAGGTTAAAATGAAGTCTAAAACTTGTAAAAAGACTTTGTATAGGTAGAGTGTAGTATAGAGAGTCTAAACGTATGATAAGAACACACCAAGGACTACCGAAAGGGTCCTTCGAAAGGACCCCAACATTGGTGGGCAGGCTGCCTTATATACTGTGGTTTCACAGTATTATTAATACTTTTTCCTTAAGTTTAGTGTGTCCAAAAGCCTTTTTGTGCTAATTTTTATATAAGTTTCTTTTTATTTTGCAGGAAATCTGTCCAAAGCTGAATGCGGAGATTTTGAGCGAAGAAATGCAGAAGAGACCACCTACGGAGCTTATGACGGTCCATCATGCTTGTGACGGTCCGTAGGTGGCAGCGTAGTGCAGCTGCTGAAGGAAGATGGGGAAGTCTGACAAAGTTTGGGGTTACGAAGCTTGTGACGGTCTGTCGTGTCTGTGACGGTCCGTCATGAAGTTCAGAGAAGTAATCCAGTACCCATATTCCAAGAGTTGAAGTATTTTGGAACGAAGAACATCGACGGACCGTTGTGCCTATGACGGTCCATCGTACTTGCCGTCGAGGGTAATGAAGAGAGAACTAGAAGAAATTGCACAAGTATGGGATGACGGAGTCCATGACGGTCCGTTGTGACCACGATGATCCGTCGCGAGGTCCGTCGACCCAGCCGCGTTTTGG